AGATTCTCAGACTGAAGTTTATATTTTCTAAGAAGTATAATGTGATCTATTATACTTTTTAGAAAATGAAATGCTAAATGTTTCCTCATTTTATGATCTGCATAAGTATAAGAACTGAAGATAACAGATCTAATCATAACACTTGAGGATAGTTACTCATATCCCAATGTGTTTCCTTTCAGTGACTTTGTTGGTATGTTTGAAAACAAACATAAATTATAATAAGTGGTTTTATAATTTTAATAAAAGTTTTTTTATGTCCCTGAATCAATACCTTCTTTCCTGGGATTTGTCATAACAAAACAAATGGAAACCTACACAGAGATTTACACACAATTACATTAGCTTGGCAGTGGGCATTGTTCTACATACCAAGGTGGCTTTCTTTGTATTTAACCATTATCACAAAAGCATACTACAAATGACAACCCATGCTTTCATCGTATAAGCATATCACAATTTACATAATAACCATTCCTTTATGTAACTTTCGAGTTTCTGATGTTTGGTGTCAGAAATACCCTGTAATTAATGTTGCATGTAAACTCTGTGAGTTCAAGTTGTTAGGACAAATCCCCAGGGAAGAAGGCATTGATTCCATGACACAAACATTTTAAAACTCTTAGTAAAAATTGTAAAACCACCTCCTTTAATATTTACTGACACAATTATAATGTGCAGAGTGATAAGAGCTGATTTAAGTATAAAACTCTTCAGATAATAAAAGTGGTGATGAAAAACAATAAATGCATGAAGGAGTTAGGTTGGTTCCTGAAGTTGCAGAACGCTGGAACAAATAGTTATAGCCTACTGGACAACACAAAGGAGAGTAAGGACAGGCATGTCTTCGTTATTGCACTATCTTTTGAAAAATCCACATTTTTATATGTTTATGAATGGTTCACCTTTACTACTGAGTTACAAGAGATTCAAGTCTTTCGAGAGTCTATTTATTGCAGATACATCCCATCTGCTTTGTGTATACCTGTTCTTCATTTCTCTTTTAAGGCACATGTATATTCAACATTATTTTATTTATGATTTAGTTTTTTCAGAATTCCATGCACAAATACACTGTATTTACATTATTTTCATTACTCTGTGTCCCTCTTTCAACATTCCCATCCTGATCCTCTACTTCCCCTAGGTTTCACCTTGAAGACTTTTGTGACCTCTCCTTTTATAAGGTAGGCCAATTAGGGCCTCACTTGGTCTCTCTCTCTCTCTCTCTCTCTCTCTCTCTCTCTCTCTCTCTCTCTCTCTCTCTCTCCCTCTCCCTCCCTCTCCTCTCTCTCTCTCTCTCTCTCTCTTAAAAGCCTTTTTAGAATCCAAGTTATCCTAGGAAAGCATTCTCCATTATTGTCTCCTTGGTGATTTATAGTTTAAAGTTTCGTGTCTAGATAACTGAACTCAAGGAAACTTTTGCGCATTATACAAAGTAGCATTCCCCATTAAATACATTTGTTTTTTCCCCCCTCTGGTGTTAGTGCTGAGTGAAGTTTCTTCTTCTGTAGGACTGTCTTGAATCTTTCCCTGAATTCTGTTTCCTTCCATCCATTTATTTTTATGTCAGTGTACACGACCTGCTTAATGCGTCTTTATAGTTGTTTTGTTCTCTGACAATTTCACACATGTATATCATACAGTAATTGGATTGGTCTCACCCACACCCACACATCCCTTATCTCCCTCCATCCCTGGCTCTATCAAGCCTTCCCTCCAACTCTACCTGTCCCCTTTACAAAGCTGTGACTTTTGGTTTCATTTTGTGACACATTCAGTTTCACCGGGCTTTCTACGTGACCAATAGATTGGAACAGTCCGCTGGAACTTGATGGGGTCACCTGTAGGTCTCCATGAGTCTATCAACAGACTGTACCACAAACAGTGGCTTTAGAGCACACAGTTGGGTTTTTATGTGTGTTTGTACAGAAGTCTAAGGTCTAGTCGTGAAAGGTGGACTTGTGTTCTTCTGCATTGTTTGCCTGGTGGCTCTGTCCTTGCTGCTGTGTGTTTATGTCATCTCTTTTTAGTGCTCTCCTCTGATCTTACTGTTTCCCTTACAAGGACCTCTGTGATTGTATTGTACTCACTCCAGTAAACCAGGGCAGCTGTTCTTCCTTCACCTTCTTTATTTACTCTTATTGGAAAATGTGCTTTTGCTGTGTGTGGGTTTCACAGTTAGAACACAAGTACCATTTGGGGATGGTGGCATGGGCATTGCTCTGCACACTGCAGTGGTTGTCTTTGTATTTAGTCTGTTTTAGTTTCATTGATTTTCATGAAACTGAAGGTCGACTTTTATCCATGTACTGTCTGCTCTATTATCCTTTCCCTATGGGTTCAGTTAAAGAGTTTGCTAATGACTGTCTCACAGACAGTGGATAACATGAAACATTCCTGTCTGTCTGTGTTGCTGAGGTCAGTGATATCTATCGATCTGTTTCCATCTTCAGTGACCTGTTTCTTCCTGCAGGATCCAATTTGCTACTGAGCTTTACTGTGAGATAATTTCATTTTTACTTTCCTTATGGATCGGGTTTTTTTTCTCTGTATGTCAAGTTCCATTGATTATCTACTGTGCAGATGATTTATTAAATTAATCTAAATTCTGTTTTATTGTTTGCTAGTACATATTGTTTTAACATTACCTTTTCCAATTCTTCCTTTACAAGATATGTCTATGATAAATGATGAATAGTAACAGTTGAGAGTTAAAAATATCAGTAGGATGTGTTTCTTCCCAATTTATACAAATCTGTCTTACCCCATTTTCAGGATATACTGTTGATTTTTGTCACTATTTTAACTTTCAGGGTATTACAGATTCTAAAGTAATAATTCTTTAAGTAGCTTTAAAGCATAGATATTTTTCTTTAAATTGTGCCATAGATCCTCAGGTTAATGTCTTTCTAAAGACAGTGAAATTGATCAGACATTTTTCTTCTGTTTTCTTCCTCTTTGTCCTGTTATGACCTATGTTAGTTCTGGTTGTTTTGTTTGAGACAGGGTTTCTCTGTGTAGTTTTGGAGCCTGTCCTGGAACTTGCTTTGTAGACCAGGCTAGCTTTGAACTCACAGAGATTCACCTATCTCTGTCTCCTGAGTGCTGGGATTAAAAGCGGGTATCACCACTGTCTGACTAGTTCTGCTTGGAATCTATGTCTATTGAACAAAGATGAAAAAGGCACATGCATACAAGTACTCTCTGGGAGAAAGAGTACTTAGATTTTCAAAGTCTTTGTCTTGTCATTGAAAGGGGATTTGCAAACACATTATTAGTAAATTAGTGGATTTCAGATCTCTTATACAATAACTAGAAGGAGAGTTTTCAGATAAACTCCCAGCTTTTCTTAAATTGCCCCACTTTATCTTTGCAATGACTGGGCATTACTACTGTGGCAGATAGAGAGAAAGAAAGAGGGATGATTCTTGGTGGGGGAGATTCTTGTATTTGAGAACATGATATTGTTGAATTATAGGTACAACCTAGAGTCATAAAATATTAGCACTGAAAGAGATCATAACAATCAACCCAGATCAGTTCACATCTGAAGAAAGAGAGGTGGGCTTAGTTCCTCCTCAGTGAGTATTTAATTATGTGGACACTCATTGGGCAAGTGCTCCTGCTACTGTTGTTGTTTAGGCTTCTTGTGCAGTAGGGAGTTTCCAGCATCCTGGTCTTCAGTTTCATTCTTGATGACATGGGGGATGCAATAAAACTTAATGGCATAGTTCTATGGAAAGGGAATGATTGCCAGAGCTTGTATGGGACATTGTGAACTAACTGATCATGGTACCACTACTAGTCATCTAGGTAGAGTTTCTTCCTTCTTGACTCGCATAGTGTGTCAGAGCCGGGAGCCCATATGAGCTACTTGTGTAGAGGTTATTGAAGCACAGAAGATTAATTAGGGGATGGTAGAGGAACTGAAAAGATTCCTGTACATTACCTGCTCATATCTCCTGAGCTGCATCTCTGTCACTTCTGGTGCTAGACAGAGAGTGGGGTTAGATGGTGCTATTAGTCCCAAGGAGCCCGGGCATAAGGCCATGTCCTCAGAAAGAAGAGTGCATTTTTCTCTGCACATTTCCATTTGTCATCACTGGTGATATATGAACATTCACATTTTAATGATATGTTGTAAACATATTTTGGTTCTATTTCTAATAAGGATAGTAAAATATCCATTGATATTTTTATCATTTCACATTATTCTACCTGTATTTGGGCATTTAGTTTTCAAAATTAGTTACAGAGTTGATTCCATAAACATTCTAGGTTAGATTTTAGACTTTAAAGTTTTCAGAATATCTTAAATTGAATACCTCATTTTTGTTTATTTTTATCATTGTATTCACTAAAACAGATTTGAAATAGTTTGAAGAGGTTTGAGTTAAAGAGAAAAATGTTGTCTAAGTTTTAAAATTTCCTCGGGATAGGCTGTGCATTAGTAAGTGCAGTTTAGAAGTTGGTAGAGATGTGCTTTGCCTTTTATGTTTATTTTTTATTATGCTGACATTAGTTACTTGTGGGGAAGAGATAATACAAAGCAGAGATTGTGTGTTACTTACTTGGCATGACATCTGTCAAGATGGCTCAGCTGATAAAGGCCACCAAATTTGACAATTTGACTCCTGGGACCTACATGGTGGTCCTGCAAGTTGTCCTCTGACTTCTACGTGTGCTATATACCATGCAACTCCAACATGCAAGACATAAAAATGCATTCATCCTTTTACTGGCAAAGCTGCATTTAGATTTACATTGTGTAAAGCAGAGCGTGGTTATCTGTGGGAACTTAGGGTGCAATTAATTCCTCAGAAGCTTTGCATATTTACTTCATTTGAGCTATGGTTTCTTCAAGTTCTTGTCATACTGATGGCTAATGAATTTTATTATGTTATTAAAGGCTTTTGGCTAGCTACAATGAATGTAGGTGTGACTTTCTGAAATATTGGTCACTGACTCTTGGCTCCCTCTTTGCCTTGTTTGGATAGGCTGCCCTGCAAGTTGGGGGCCATGGAGAAAGGCTGCACCAGTGTCGGGAAGTGATGCTTCTGACTTACAAGTCCATCCCCATGCAAGTAGATGGGGAACCATGTAGGTTGGCCCCCGCCATGATTCGGATCTCCTTGAGGAATCAGGCCAACATGGTACAGAAGAGCAAGCGGAGAACCTCCATGCCTTTGCTCAATGAGTGAGTCTTGGCTTGCCTTCCTGGGTGACATGGAGACACTGGGAAGCAGATGGCGGAGCATGCGCATGCTCTGGGGTCCTCACTGTGTTGGAAAGGGGAGAAAAGTCAATAAAGCACCACAGGCCCTAGATTGCTCTCATGGGAATACAAGAAACCAATTTGCCTTTTATCTGATAGTTATTTGACCTTCTTTTGGGTACATGTGGCTGTGTGGAAGATGCATGATTCTCCTTCACTGACCACCTAGGCATACATTATGTTCAGATGAGCTGGTTTTAATTTTAATTTGGTTTAGGGAAGCCTGTCACTAGCTCCTTTTTACGTAGCATTTCTTTCTGTTCATCGATGAGTGGCCCCTTTCCCTGCCTTTCCATTTGGGGTCTCATGTCCTCTGATGCTTCAACTCAGTTTTGCCTTCCAAGGCAGCATCTACTGTCCATACTGAATTCAACTCACTATGACCACTTTAAGCACCAGGTTTCCCTTCCTTCCTGTTCTTTTTCTTTGTTTTTTTAGGCGTTTTGGTAAACTGATGCACGGTAAGACAATATAGAATAGGTAACACAGAACATATGTTCGTTTTCTGGTGTACTTTACTCAAATTGGTGACTTAATTGTGTACTTGGGATTGGAGAGGTAGCTGGCGAGAGAAGATTTGAGTCATCTTTTTGAGTATCTTCTAGATATCACACCATCATGCCTAAGGTCATTTCAGGGCTTAGTCTTGGGCCATCCTCTGTCACAGTGAGGGCCATCCAAGGTGCACCTCCTGTCTGCTCTCTGCACTGCATGGTTACCCATTGTACTGAATGGCTAGCTTCCTGGTGGTGCCTGCAAGGCAAGGGCATGCTTTGCCATGTGTTCATGAAGTCAAGGTGAGACTTCGCGCAAGTTCCCAGAATATCTGATGACGAAGGTGCCACAGCTCCTGTCACCTCTCTCTGTGGCAGCATATGCTCAGGAAGAGCAAGAGACAGCGCTCTCCAGGCACTGCAGCTTTTGGCATCCGCTTCTAAGTTGGAGACTGGTGTGAGAAGTCCGCTTCCTCCGTTCCTGGAGTCCGGGCTTCCTGGAACATTGTCCTGGTTGTTTCCCACAGCTTCCGTTTACTCCATTTACTCTGAGTTGATGGTTCTTGCTTTATTTACATTTTGCAGCTGGCAAAACTCTTGGCGCATTGCGGGTGCTTTCTATCCTTGCTGCCTTTTCCTTCTTCTAGGGCGAAGACATAATTTTGGGGTTTATACATTGAAAAAGATGAGATGTCAACAGTTGTACTTTATTCTCCACGTCTTCTAGATATGAAAGTCAAACCATGACACATCAGTTGGGCAAAACCTAAGAATTAATGAGTGGAAAGCTGCCTCTGAATTTGTGCAGTGACCTAGGTGCCTAGGTTACTTGTAGATCGTCTATGTAAAAGAGAGAATCAAGCTCAATGAGTTTGCTGAAGTGAAGGGTATGGTCTCATGACCTTCTTAGATGTAGAACTGTTTTCAAGTGTTCAGTTTCAAACAACGTTTACACTTCTGTCAAAAATATGTCTTCCCTAGGTAATCCTATTGATTAGAGTTTGTTTGGCTTTGTTTATGTGCAAAATAAATAGACATAGTTTCTTGTTTTGTCCTCGTGACATGTGTGACATATGACATTTCTTGCACAGGTGTCCAAGAGCAGCCTCATGTAAAAAAATGCTGACACTTCCTACCTGGGCAGAGTTCCTATCCTAACAGCTCCATGTCACACAGGAGACCATATACAATGGGAGTCAGAGCACACTATTCATTTTTCAAAAAATTATTAAAATTTGGAAATTATTTTATTGCTATATATAAAATTATGATGCTTTTTCTAAAGAAAGGGGAATAAACCTGGTTACCACATCATACTTGTTCACTAAGCCTGGCTTTCTCTCTCCTTAATCATTTTTATCTCTACAGTTTGTTTCTACTTCATTACAAAAACCTCTCTCTCTCTCTTTCTCTCTCTCTCTCTCTCTCTCTCTCTCTTTTCCCCTTTCTCTCTCCTCCCCCTCCTTCTTCCTCTGTATTTCCAAGAAGAGTTTCAAGTTTAAAGTCAGCCTTGACTTTTGGACTTTTTATTTAGCCTTCTGTGCCTTTGAACTTGTCTCTGTCTTGTCCACCATAGTGTGATGGAAGAGATATTTAAATATTAAAAAAAATTTACTCCTTTATTTCTCTGCCCCCTTTCTTTCTGCCTATTTTGTTTCTCTTTCCTTCCTACCTCCCTCTTCTTTCCTTTCCCTTTCTTGTTTTCTTTTTCTTTATTGCTTTCTTTCTTATAAACTAAAACTGTTTCATTTGCTTAATTTTCTTGTATACTTTTTCTTGCTAGCAGAGGCAGACAACTAGTTTACAATTGTCATAAAATTTTTGTCTGAAGGGCCAGTGTGTGCATGTATATGTGTGCCTATGCATGGGTGTGTGTGTGTGTGTGTGTGTGTGTGTGTGTGTGTGTGTGTGTGTGTGTGTGTACATATGATGGGATGGTAGCTGTTTTGTTCATCTTAGGAATTGGGCTTCTTTCATTCATGTTACCTGGCATGACTTGCTATTTTCATACTGTGGTTCCCTGAATAACTACTTCTTCCCTGGAATGCTGGTGTGTCTCACACATCTGCTCTTTCTTTGGTATGTTGAATCTTAGATCTGTGACTTCAGCCCTGACTCTTTTCAAAAACTGAAGACTATTCCTCAAACATTGTAATTGACAGTATTTTCCTTAATGAGTATGCAAACCCTTAGATTGCATACTCAGTACCAGATCCTTAACTTTACCGCCTGTGCAATTCCTTCTTCTCATCCATGTGAGTCTATTCCTCACTCATGTGCTCATTCCTTGTGCCTCTGGCCCCTGGAGTTGTCTCACTCACCTCTGCTTCTCTGCACTTAGCCGGTCAGCTGGCACTTTCCTTGAGACCCACCTTCAGTTCATCTCTCAAATCTGTAATGCACCCCATCTATTCTGTTCCCCAGGAAACTCCTAGGTGCTCTCACTACTGATCCATTTCCCAGATCACCCTGCTGCCCATCTTCAGAAAGATGGTTTTTCCTTTACACCAATTAAAATGGTCTTCCTAAAAGTGGAAAGCCCATGTTCCTTATCTTCACAGTTGTTTTTGGTCTTTGCCATCTTCATCCTTTTCTCCTCTGTCCCAGGGAGCTATCGCCTTTCTTCATATTCATCATTCTTTTGCCCCTGTCTTTTCTTCTCTCAGTGGCCTCACTTCCTTCTTTCATCTGCCAGTCCTGCTCACAGTGCAAATTCCCAACTTGGGTATCACTTCCACCAAGTACCATCCTCTAGCTAATTCTAGCGGTTGGTTGTACCTCTTGGTGTGGTTTCCATCACATCATCTGTCAACATAGTATATCCATCATCTGCCGGCTTGTCTCTAATCTGCTCTGTGGGGAGGCCCTAAGGTTTTCCCCTCAGAATGCCTGTACCTGTCAGTGTCTACACATATTGAATCAATGACTCACAAGTGGACCCTATTATACTTCTATCTCTGCTACATTTCTTGGAAACCATTAACAAAATCACAGCTACCTAAAATCTCATGAATATAGAGGTAATAGGGAATATGTTCTGAGGATAAGTTTTTACAAGTATAGGACAAATATTGAACCATTTAGATATGGTTACATGGATAATTGGAAGGAGTCTCCATGAGAGTCAGCTAAATAGTAGGCTTTCATGATGCCACTCTGTGCATATTTATTATGAAAGGAAAAACATTTTCCAGGAAATAATGCCAGTTTTATTAGTGTTTACAAAATAAAATGTGTTCACTAACTCCATGTTGGCAAAGGAGCATACCTTACATTTTATTATAACATATGAATCTACACAGACTATGGAGTCTAATAAATATTTCCCCACAAAAATGTCTCATTATTTTCTGTATTATGGATCACTGTTGAAGGAGGCCAGAAGCTTAAAAAAACTGGTATGCAAGGGAGGTCTTCAGCTGTTACCCTTAACTTCACTAGCAATTGTGAAAGATGGTCATTTTGTTCGTAGGCAAGAGTTCTAGTTAGGTAACTTTGAATCAGGCAACCAGGTTCCATCATCCTTGGCTATTGAAGCATGTTATTGATTTTAACGGAAAGTCTTTGAAGATAGCATGGACAGAACACTGAAGTTAACTCATGGGTGACCTTCTGTGAGGATATATATATATATATATATATATATATATATATATATATATAT